ATATGTTTCCAAAAGCTATGGATGATATGTAGCGTCTTTTTTCAGCAAACATACGCTGTGTTATATCTTTCCCTACGGATATCTTAAGTGAACGGGGTGGCATCTCTTCCCTTTATAGCTTTATATGTTCACAAAAAACTATATGAAAGGTAACGTTTATTCAAGAAATGTACGACGCGTTTTAAATCTTTCTCTAACGCACACTTTTAAGCGAACGGAGGGAGAACCTCCCCCTTTAGCTTATTCCCAACAGCTATATGAAATATAGCGTTTATTCAACAACAATAAGGCGTGTTTAATCTTTCCATACGCGTATTTTAAGTGACGTTGGATTATATGCTCCCAAAAGCTATACGAAATGTAACGTTTATTCCACAAACATATCACATGTTTATTCTTCCCATACGTGCATTTTAAGTGACGTTGGCTTATATATTCCCCAAAACTCTATGAACCGTTGCCTTTATTCAACAAACATAAGATGTGTTTAATCTTACCTTACAAGTTTTTTAAGTGACGTTAGCTTATATGTTCCCGAAAGCAATATGAAATGTAACGTTTATTCAACAAACATACGACGTGTTTAATCTTACCTTACACGTACTTTAAGTGAAGTTAGCTTATATGTTCCCGAAAGCTATATGAAATATAGCGTTGAGTCAACAAACATACGACATGTTTAGTTTTTCCTTACGTGCATTTTAAGTGACGTTGGCTTATATATTCCTAAAAATTCCATGAAACGTTACGTTTATTCAACAAACATACGACGTGTTTAATCTTACCTTACGAGTTTTGTTAAGTGACGTTTGCTTATATGTTCCCGAAAGCTGAAGGAAATGTAACGTTTATTCAACAAAAATACGACGTGTTTAATTTTTCCATACGCGTATTTTAAATGACACTGGCTTATATGTTCCCAAAACCTCTATGAAACGATGCGTTTATTCAGCAAACGTACGACGTGTTTAATCTTTACCCATGCGAATTTTAGGTAAACGGGAAGTGATCTCTTCCCTTCAGCTCATATGTCCCCAAAGGTTGTATAATTTTGCGTTATTCTATTTCGTCTATGTATTCAAACTGGAAAATACTGTCCGTCCGTAACATGTTTATGATGTTGTACTCCGTCCTGGAATTTTTTTTAGGTGGACAATTCGGGTGTGAAAGTACGAGACCGTTGTTTCAGGATGGACAAATCAGTTGTCGGCGGCGAATGTAATGAGAAATGAATGTAAATGTAAGAAGTTGTTTATAAAAACATGGAACAAACAGTATCTGCGGTGTGTTTCGGTAAGATGCACTGACAAGGCATGGTGTTTTTCAAAATGTAAATTTATTCAGTACCAAGCTGTGAAAAAACAACACAGGGATTCAAATGCAAGATAATCGCCATATGGGGGAGCCGATATCTGCCAGATGGTGTGTCATGTGACAGGGTATTATCCAATGACAGACAACGGTGGGATTTTGAAATCTACTGGATATGCAAGACGCAAGCACCAGGGCTAGCATTTTACAGGGCGCCTTTTTGAAGACAAGTACGGGATGGAAGATTGGACCAATTCCATCAGGACTCACTGCAGGTTATGGACGAGATTCAGTTGGTTTTAATCACCCTGAACCCCGACGGAACGGACACAAAACTAGGGCACATGGTCCTCGTTCTGTACAAGTCTACAAAACGGATTGGAGTGGAGATATGGAACACGGCACGGCACGGCACGGAATGAGAAAACATCACGACCGTATATCTGTGTCGGCGACCAAGACCGGGAGTCATATCGGTATCTGTATTCGCGAAACTGAGCGGATTACTTCTCCAAGCCTGCGGTGGCCACATGGACAAGAGTGCTCTTTCAAAGTAAACTCTACCTTTGCCTAACGACGTTGGATTCGGAATTGTAGACTTGGATACAGCGCAGAATCTTGAAGGAACTTTGCACGGACACAGTGACTTATCGCTCGAGCTCAGCCGGCTGCATCAACGAGAACAAAAACTATACGACTAGCCTGGTTTCCAGTCTACCGGGTATGGAGCGGCTTTCTTTGGGGATCCAGGACCTCTTCGCCGCCGGAGTAAGCCAGGCTCCCCGGTATGTTTCGCATCGATATCGTGCCGCTAAACTCTATCCAGGGAGCCTAACTTCAACAGGACGGCAGGCCCGAAGATAGCCCACCCAAACCACGACAGGACTGGACACCAAAATGCCACAAATACCTGACATACGCAGAATAAACGGCAAGTAAATGCAACAGAATACGCCAACGTTACGCACACTTTATGGGTAATAAAGACGCAGTTTAAGCTGCTGAAAGTCAACTGAAAATCCGAAAAATAAGCACCATATACGCAACAAATGATTACCTTTACACACACGTATATTGGCCGTAAAAGTGCTTCAATTAGAAATAAACGTGAACTTTAAATACGTTATAAGAGCATTTTAAAAAGTATTTATGACAACTTTAAGCAGCTGAAAGGCTACGTGAAACCGGAAATACGGATCCATCCGCACCTATCCGTCATCTTTACCACACTTATATGAGCCGTAATAAATGCTTAAAAAATGAAAATACGTCAACTTTACTTACAATTTAGAAATATTTTCATCATTATTTAAGACATCTTTAAGTGCTTAAAGGCTACGTGAAAACCGGAAAATAAGGATCAATCCGCACCTTTCCGTCAACTTTACACATACGTATATTATCCTTAAAAATGCTTAAACAATAAAAATACGTCAACTTTACTTACAATTTAAAAATATTTTCATTGTTATTTAAGACATCTTTAAGTGCTTAAAGGCTACGTGAAAACCGGAAAATAAGGATCCATCCGCACCTTTCCGTCATCTTTACACATACGTATATTACCCTAAAAATGCTTAAACAATAAAAATACGTTAACTTTACTTACAATTAAAAATATTTTAATTATCATTTAAGACATCTTTAAGGGCTTAAAGGCTACGTGAAAACCGGAAAATAAGGATCCATCCGCACCTACGGAAAGACCACGTAACGTCGATCTTTACGTACTCGTATATAACGTGTATAGATGCGTAAAGACGGAATATACGTTGACTTTAAGCATAGTTTAAGCATCCGTAAATACCGTTTTTCGTGTCGTGCCTGTCCCTAGTACTGAGATGCTGTCCCTGTCCCTAGTACTGAGATGCTGTCCCTGTCCCTAGTACTGAGATGCTGTCCCTGTCCCTTTTACTGAGATGCTGTCCCTGTCCCTAGTACTGAGATGCTGTCCCTGTCCCTAGTACTGAGATGCTGTCCCTGTCCCTAGTACTGAGATGCTGTCCCTGTCCCTAGTACTGAGATGCTGTCCCTGCCCCTTGTACTGAAATGCTATCCCTTATCTTAGTACTGAGATGCTATCCTTAAGATTCTTGCCATGAAGACTAAATAATGGTTCAAAATGTACACCACAGGTGGCCCGCCACGCCGCCATGGCCGCCAACGCGCAGTCCCAGAGCGCGCCCATCCACACGTCCGTGTTGGTACGCGGGAAACCGGAGATACTGAGAGTCATCGAACTGCTGATTGACAAGATGCAGAGTGACGTGGCTGAACTGATTGTGGAGGTTGGAACACTTTTTCTGTAACTTAAATCTTTTGTTACCTTAAGTTTGCTGAGAAGGTTTAATATGTTTTTGGGTGTCACATTTTTGGATGCATGTGTCTATTTATTTATTTATTTATGAATATTTACCACATTTATTGTGGAAGGATTGACATAACAGGTGACTATCACCTCTTCAAGATGTCAAACCTGAGACCAGACTGTAAGGTTTGAACCACTCACACCAGGAAGGTCCCCTACTCTTTTCGATAAGTGTGGTGGGTTCTTGAATGTGCGTGGGGTGTGGCTCTCCCAAACACGGGAACTCCATTTAATGTCCTATCCGAGGGACGTCCCTAACCGAAGCTAGGTACTTATTTACACCTGAGTGAAGTGAGGAAAGTCGTGTAAAGTGCCTTTCCCAAGGGCATAAGATCAGTGACAAGATGGGGTTTGAACACAGGACTTCTTGGTTCCGAGCCGAAAGTAAACATAACAAGACTGGCAATGAAAACATACATTGCCATGGCGACGGTAGTTGCTGTTAGGGTTATTGTTTGCATGGCACTGCCATCATTTCATGATTTTGAGGAAGACTTAGTACCTGTTAAGTCTAGACAGATACAGTGCACTCCTCCCCTGAGTGTATAGTGAACGAGCCCCGGGGTCACAGAAAGTAGAGCCATCCGGGGCAGAGAGGTCTTCCCAGGGGTTTCCAGGAATGTGGGCATAGATGTGGGTCAGAGAAATGCCTGTGGACATTCCATTCCTGTGGACAAAATGCCTGTATCATTCCTAGAATTCTTGCAAACTGCACACAATACTGTACCATTAGGCTCCTCCCTGAGACGTCGCCAAAAACCAGTGACTTGTTGTTTCACACTGCTCAGGTTATGGACATCACAGTGCACTGTCTGGACGCCGCCCAGTTGAAACAGAAGGGACTGCAGGAGACTTTTCCTGCCATCTGTCGCTTCAACATGGTCAGCTACGATAACCACAGCCGGCGCATCGCTGTGGGGGCCAGGAACGGCTACCTCGCGCTGTACGACCAGAAAACAGCCAAATGTCAGGTAAGGTAGTGCAAAAATAGTCCAGGACTTACATATTCTTGATGTGTGCAGACCCCATATTTAAGAGGGGCCCGCAAGCCCTTTTCCGTAGAGCGTAATCGGCCGTTTTAATTTTACGTATAGCGTAGACGGACCGCTCTAATAATTTTACGTAGAGCGTATTCGCCATTTTAATTCTACGTAATGCGTTGTGGCTACTTGGAATTTATCATAAAGTGTAATCGAGAATTTCCAAATTCAGCGTATAGCGTTGTCGGGACCCCCCTTGCAGGCCCCCTTTAAGAGGTGCCAGAAATGGCTACCTGGCACTCTATGACCAAAAGACAACTAAATGTCAAGTAAGTTTGCATCAAAAATAGTACAAAGTTTCATCTATGTAAAGGTGCTTTACATCCCATAGTCTTTTTGAGCTTGTAGGCAGTAGATAATTTATTGATTTCCCTTTGACTGGGATTTGAAGGTAAATTTGTGTACTGCCTTTCCCAATGACATGCATCTAGACCAGACTGCCAGGAATCAAAACTTGACCATCTGGTAGTGCTACATACCTAAACCCACATTTAGGTTCAGGTCCGGATTCAAGTCCAGAGGTTTAAGTTCAGTTCCGGACTTGTAAGTCCGAACCTAAACCCATGGCATGTACAGAATTGCATGTTGGCAACTTGCAATGTTATCTGGGTGAAACTAGGCGAAATAACATGGAGGCCGACACTTGACGATGCCCGATGGCAATGTTTTCTTCATTTTGCAGCACAGTTTTTGCAATCTACGGAGGGTTTTAGATGGTTTGGAAAGAAAAGGGGTATGTTAAATGGTCTTTTATGGTAATAAGTCCAGACTCGGTTCTTGACTTTAAGGTTTTTTTAAACTTGAACCTAAAGATTCTTACAAGTCCGGATCCAAGTCCAGTTAACCAGTATGCAGCACTACCATCTGGTGTCTGAATCGAGTATTTGCCAGCCTTACCCTCAGGCCATTGATGCCACAATGTTTCATCAGAAGTGAGACATTTCAGAAGGGAAATGTATTTCAAGTGCACTTACTTTTTTTATTTGTTGCCTTCCATGTCGTACACAGATGATAGCTGCCCACAGTGCTCCTGTCATGGCGGTAGCGTTTTCCCCTGACGGCAGACATCTCGCCACGTACTCATACCAGGAGAACAAACTCCTGTTCTGGCAGGTAAGGACTAAGGGTAAACTTAAGGTGTCCTCCCTGGCTAATTTGGCATTTTAGCTTTCCATCGTTTTCTCACAAAGAAATTTAGAAAGAGCTGTAGTTGTACTGAATATTGATACCTGGGTACAAAAGGGTTATGAATATGATTTTTTGGACCATATGGATGACGTCATCACATTTTATTGCCCCAAATGTAATTATCTTTAAAGCTATAATATAGCACTTTGGTACAAGTAACTGAAATAAAAGTATGATTTTCATGTGCATAATGGTCAAAGCTACAAACGTACGTTTGCACAAATTGATATCTACTAATTACCCGTGGTTATTAGAGAATAACTAAATTTTAATTAGGCAATTAGGTTATTCTCTAATAACTACGGATATAATTAGTAGATATCAATTTGTGCAAACGTACGTTTGTAGCTTTGACCATTATGCACATGACTTTTATTTCAGTTACTTGTACCAAAGTGCTATATTATAACTTTAAAGATAATTACATTTGGGGCAATAAAATGTGATGACGTCATCCATATGGTCCCAAAAATCATATTCATAACTCTTTTGTACCCAGGTATCAATATTCAGTACAACTATAGTTCTTTCTAAATTTCTTTGTGAGAAAATGATGGAAAGCTAAAATGCCAAATTAGCCAGGGAGGACACCTTAAGGTAAATGTAGCCCCAAAGCCTTTTAGGCTAGGGACAGTTGGTTGTTGATCCATTGTGTCTAGGTCATGGTATTGGACAGTGGAGCCCTTCCCTATCCTTCCACTGTCTTTTACCTCACCAACTTAAGTCAGGTACCCATTTTTGCACCTGGGTATGAAGGATAGAGCATACTGGAGTAACTTGATCAAGTGTACCTCACCGGATTAGATAATTCGGAGGCATGATGATGAGTGTGTTACCTTTCTCGATGACACAACATCTAGCCTTGAATGCCATGGAAGTATTGTTTTGGGTGGCTGAGCTGTGGGTTTGTGTATATCTGTTTGTCTGAACAGAGAAGGTTGAAAGCCAGAGTGTTAGGGAAGATAGGTAGAATGACAGGAGGTCAAAAATCTCAGAAACTCGCCGAAAGCATAAGAAATTAGAGGTAGACATGGGGGAATTCTACTCTCCAAGCAGAGGTTTGGGTTTGGTGTTATTTTTGGCATGTTTTTAGGCTTTTTTATCGGGGTTTCTCTTTTGCACTGGAATTTTTTTTCACCCAACCTCTGCCGGCACTCACCCCGGGGCGGGGTTCAAGAAAGGTGACAGTGCTTCTCCCCGGGAACCATCAAATTATCATTAGGGATATCCATTTTACTGTCACAGTGGTGGATTATCACACATCCAGCCAGTCAGAAAGGCATTCATTGGGCCACACGCCTCCTGCTGACTGTGCCTATTCATGCGTCTGGTTCACACCTACTTGTAGAACGACCGTAATGTGTTGAAGAGATTAGGTTTATGGCACATTGAAGCTTTCGACTGCTGGCAGAGGTTAGGTTGGGTGAAAAAAAAATTCCAGTGCAAAAAAAAAAAACGATAGAAAGGCCTAGAAACACGCCAAAAATAACCCCAAACCCACACCTCTGCTTGGAGAGTAGGGAATTCAGCAAACCAAGGATTGGATACTTCATGGTACTATGATTTTACATCTAATGTGCATCATACTGATTACATTGTGTGTAACATTTTTATAAAAGTAACGAAAATTTACAAGAGGGAAACTACAGAAGTTTAGTGGAAAGATCAAACATAGCGGCGGCCTTTGCTGTTTACGCACGTCCGCAGTCTTGCCGCTCGCCTTGTTTACGGCGGTCCAGTGATGCCGATTCTGTCCATGACCCTACCGATAGCATCGAAGTTGTGCTATGAAAACGCCAAAAATTGCGAGAGCCGGCCCTGGCTGGTAAGTGCGCTCAGGCCCCGGAACTCACGCCGAGCGGTACGCACGGAATCAGAACCAAGTTGGCACATTTAAAAATCACTGATTCGTGAAGTCAAATCCCTCGCGAACTCTCAAATTTGCTGAAACCGCGAAAAAAAGTCCTCGCGAACATAAATGCATTTACAGTAATTTAAAATCTCTGATTTCTTGTTGTCTTTCCAGATGGCAGCAGGGTTGTTTGGCATGATGAGTGGCTCCAGTATCAAGTGTATCCGGTCCCACGACACCCGACCGGCGCGCGCAGGGAGTAACACCTCGCTCAACAGCCTGCTGAAGGGGGTTCGCCTCGTCTGGATCACGCAGAAAAACGTCATCGTGCTCACCGGAGACGGTTCTGAACAGAAGTTTAGTGTCTAGTGAGAAATAGAGTCTTATGCTGAGGTCACATTTCCAAACCGGGGCCCGGGCGGGCCATTTCGATTAACGAAACATCAACAATTTATATCAATACTAGAAAGGCCGACATTTGCTTGGGAGCAAATACAGCATATTTCAGTCCATCTCCCTCCCACGCAAAAGTGGACTATTCCAAACTTACCCCAGGGCAAAACTGGCAAAGGTTCTCAAATAAATGAATTATATAGTAGCTATATGTAATTGAGAACAAAGATGCAAGGACAATAATACACGTACACGCAAGTAGTTCCCTCATTATTGATTTTTTCAACTTTTTGGTGCTCTGTTGTCTTTTGTACCGCACATTTCGTTCCATAAGACTGCCCGGCCGGGCCCCGGTTTGGAAATGTGATCAGCATTAAATATAGTCCCTACCAGGCTTCAGAGGTGGCTGGAAAGGGTGAAAATTGGTCAAATAGACAACAGATAGGAAGCTCTAAGCTGCTGACTGTACATGTACTAATGTCTGGATCACCCAAAAAAAAGTCATTCTGCTTACTGGAGACGATTCTGAAGTTTAGTGTCTAGTGAGAAATAGACTCTTAATGTCCTGCAGAGCCCATATATATAACTAGAGATGTAACATTTGCAAAGCAAATGCATAATGTTTACCTTCGGACATGGTCTGCCCTGTTAATTTTTACTCAAACATATTCACATACATGTACTACTAGTATATGGTGACAGGAGCAGAGCAGACCATGAAATTGCAACATTATGTAACCCAACACCAGTCACCATGGTGACAGACGTCAACAAATCATGTCATTGGCCAGGTCAGAGGTTAGTGTTTGGAGAAGAGGAAATTGAGTAAAAACAATATGTTTTCCTTCAGTAAACATAATTATATGGGTTGCACATATACAGTACCATCTACATAGCATCCTGCGTATGTATATGATTTGGGGGTATTTCTCATGTAACGCATCACACGGCAGCAAAACGCAACGAATGCGGAAGTAACTATGCCACTGCAAGCAAAAGAAGTTGAGTCTACGACCTGATTATTTGAAAATATTGTGTAAAAAATGCCAGCAGGACAAGGGTTAACCTTAAGGTAACATTTGCAAAGTAAATTCATAATGTTTAGCGTCACAATGGACCTATACCATTATTACGTCACAGTTTGTTTACCTGTTCTAAAGAACTTCTAGAACGGTCAGTTAAAGAAGAAAGATCATTTCAAAGTTTTCAAAGTAAGGTATGTCTGATTTTTGCTGCGTCTAGTTGTGTTGACACAGCATTACATGCCACATAGGTGATTTTGTTGTGACGTTAGACGAAAGTAGTACTGTATTAAAAGCCTTACATTAGGCTAACGCTACACAAACACACACCGCGCTACGCACCCCTGTACAATATAAACGTCGATTGACCGGCAATCATTGCGGTAAACAAACTGTGACGTAATAATGGTATAGGTCCATTGGACTAGCCTAACAAACTATTTCTCTGTTTATTGTTACTCCAACACATTCATAATACTAGAGTTCCCCGATCTCATACCTTCGCCAAATGATGTTAATCTTTATGACTGACAAATTATAGATTATTCCCCCTGATTTAACAAATAGAATCATGAATTATATCATTTTATCATATTCTCAACCAAAAGACAGTCTTATATTAACAATGCCATTCTAGCATTTCCTCATAAATTATGCAAATAAGGTCCTGATTTGAATACATTATGTTTAGTGATGTTCACCTTCACTTAACTTTCAAATACCACAAGTATGAAATTCCAGGCAGTTATCTTTACATAATTATAAAATTTTCTCATTAATTATGCAAATTAAGTCCTCATTTACATAATTAATATCTGTCTGTGTTTCTCTTATTCTCAATTACCAATGTCACAAGCTTCAATAGTCCAACCATGGAATGAAGCTGATTTATAGAATATCCCCATAAATTATGCAAATTACATCCATATTTGCGTAATTGTCAAATAATTATATCAAGCATCACATAAGCTACCTACATACCAAAAATCACGACGATCCGTCAACCGGTTCTTGAGTTACATTGAGTTGAATATTTTCAAACATATAGTCCTGTAGTTCCAGAGCAAGCCGCTAGGGGGCCCAAACTCACGGCACTTCTTCCCCAGCACAAGAGCTACCTACCATCCAAATTTCGTCACCCTAGCATGTCTAGATCATGAGATATCAAAACCGGAAGTGCAGCTGCAGTACCATAACAAGCCGCTAGGAGGTCCAAAATCTAATCATTTTGAGGTCTCATCAAGACCTACCCACCTACCAAGTATCAAGACAATCCACCAAGGCCTTCTAAAGTTATCGTGTTTACAGACACACACACACACACACACACACATACACGAACGCCTCTGAAAACATAACCTTCTTGGCGAAGGTAAATATGTGGTGAGCAGCCACTCTACATGTAGCTCTAGCCTGCTACATAATGTAACCCAACACCACAGGGTGTCTACTACAGCACCAGTTACCATGGTGACAGACATCTGGTTCAGGTCATTGACTTTATTTCTTTGGCGAAGAAAAATATGGTTTACTGTACACTATGCGCTTATTTTACTTTTGACTGTCAAATATTTTTTTATATCACAAGCCATTTGAAAAAACTGAGTAAAAGGTAGTAGTGAAAATACACAAATATAATACATTGTACTAAATATCCGTGCATGTGGTCAGTAAAATTGTAATGACAGCATATACTGATAAATCTTTAATTAATACATTAATTCTGTCAATTCTTTTAATCATGTGCAATGTTCTCCATGTGGGTAAACTTTCTATGTAGATTTACTTTGAATCTCTTGGATGCAATATACATTGTATAAGCTCAACAAAGTAGCCACTTGGATACTAGTTCTCTATGGTTGAGTTGAGGGACTAGGTTGCTGGTAAAAGGTTAAAATGCATAGTTGCCATCTTCTTATAAGAATTTGGTAACTAATTTAAAGAACATAACAGTATGAAGAAATTTGAACTGTTCTCCAACGATAAAACAAGATTAACTCACCAAAAATTTTCGACTGAATCGCTCAGTCTTCATCAGCTTGGCTGAAGTTTGGGAGCAGTCTGCCAAAATTTAGGCCACGTTCACCTTTCTATATGAATTAAATCGGATTTGGGTTAAATTTGAGTCAGATTTGACTCCTGTACACGACCTGAACACTGCTGACCTACTGCCAAGCACCAGCTAACCAGCCCTCAACCATGGCACAACCTCTTGTCCAATTCTTAATGTTGGGGGAGTTAGGTACTCTCCAAGCAGAGGTTTGGGTCTGGGGTTATTTTTGGCGTGTTTTTAGGCTTTTTTATCGGGGTTTCTCTTTTGCACTGAATTTCTTTCCCCACCAAACCCAACCTCTGCCGGTTTGGTGGGAAAAAAATTCAGTGCAAAAGAGAAACCCTGATAAAAAAAACTAAAAACACGCTAAAAATACCCCCAAAACCCAAACCTCTGCTTGGAGAGTAGGAGGTAGGCAGTGTTTTGCCTATGTGTGACAGGCTTTAGCTAGGTGGCATCAGAACTATACTATATATATAGTAAGCATAGGTAACATTCCATATTTAAAATATGTTATAGTAAAAGATGAGTATTTTGTTGTGCAATATGTTTGTAAATATTTTTTTTTCTTTTACATTTAGAAATGTCATTTACATTGAAAATGTCTCATTTTAGAGCAATTGATGCTTGGACTGCTTTGCTTTGCTTCATAATAAAATGTAGTCCTAAAGGTGTTATTTAAGTCTATGTATTCAATAAAAATGAAAAGGTTCTTATATTCCACATTGTAATGTTTTAATTTGTATACTGTTGTAAACTTTAGTTAGGCCACACCGACTTAATTTTATGGATGACATCCTCCGGAGACCCCCAAATTAGTGCGCGCGGGCGAATAAAAAAAAAAGAATTCCGGCCAAAAATAAAAATGCTACTAAACCACAGGAATACAAAACTGGTATTGTGATTTTGCCACAGAACATAGCGACGTACACGACAAGCCGACACATGCTGGCTTTTTGCGGAATTTATGAATCAGCACTGTACGTATGTACTGAGTTCTTGTGTCGGGAGCTTCGGCAGCCTTGGTGCCATCCTCCAGAGTTACAACCGGTTGCCGTATACTACACAGGCCAGAGCCTCGGAGGACGTGATCTTTTTTTTTTTTTGAGAACAGGTGAAAATCAATGTGCGCGCGGATGTCATCCATAAAATTAAGTCGGTGTGGCCTTACTAGGGTTTTGACTAGTGTTACCGGCTATAACAGGATGCCTAGACCTGTTTTTATTTTCAATTTTTTTTCGCCCTGTCGCTTCCTTTTTTTCTGAAAAAATCCGAGAACCAACAAATTTATTTATTTATTTATTAAGTTTTACCACGTACAATATGCACTGTGGATGGCATGGCGAAACAGGTGTTTCTGACATGAAACACCTTTTCAAAGCCGCCATACCAATAAAATGACAAAACAATACAAAAAATAATCAAATCACATAATACAATTAGAGAAACAGATAAATAAACTTAGAACTACAAGGCAAGTCAACTTATTTACATTATTTACAGCAGTAATGTCACAGTTAGCGCGGTCTTGTGGCCAGGCATGTAGCGCAACCACAAGATAACTGACAAGTACAGGGTTGCTCTAAACTGTAAGTTTGGCAAAATCTGTCGAAATTGGCGTGGCCTTATTCTCCCACGGAATAAAGTCCCCGCGAAAGCAAATAAATTTACAGTTAATAGGAAAATTGGGCAAGAGTGATATGTTTCATACTGTGGCCACATAACAGCTTATTCTTGAAAACGTTCATTTGTGAAGATAGAAATACGAATTTAAGGTGCCCTGTAGCTGCATTTTCATCCATTTTTTTTTACCGAGATTGACATTAACGTTAGTATCCTTCGTAATTAGATAATCCATCTAATCGTCCTTCTTCGACACATATATTATATAAGTGCCTGCACCGAAACGGGCCGTCATTGGTCGTCATAATTAGATTATCAACTTCACATTAATTAGATTATGCACGGCCGTTCTGCACTCCTGTGTAAAATGGTCCGTTCGACGTTCAAAATGGCGCTTTCGCACGACGGGAATACTCTGGGCTGATTT